TAAACAGTTGGCTTACTGTTGTATGAAACTTCTCAGCCGTTCTCACTCTGGAACCATAAAGGACATTCAGATCTTACCGTGAGGAGACATTAGTGCAATATAAAAGTCTTAAAATTGCCCTTTATGAAGTGCTTATTTTTCCAAAAGGTTACATTATCGGTTCTTGTCATTCAAATACTCTTGTTATATCTTACACTTCATGACACAACGTGCGTTTATGTACCTGGATGTTTGTCGAACTCGTACTGTTTGGGGGCTTTTGTGATGTCATTGTCTTCTCCAGCACCAAGGTATGGGGCTGGGATACAGTATAAGCCATTGACATAGATTCCAGCGATGCAACGGCTGATGTGACATTTTCTCATAAAATTTTAGGTGAACCAACCTCGATGCATTAAACGACATTAATGACCTCAGTTTGGTATTCACCATAGACTGATATCAGTTGCAGGGACACTGGAGACACGGAAGCACTGGACAGCTGTTTCATCTTATTATGGACCCCTCAATAGTGCCCACCCATGACCCCGCCCTCCAGGGATAGAATCTAGGACCTTTGGGTTCCGTGGCTAGCATATTACCATTGAACCACCAAAGCATATCCTAATAGGCTATAAATCCAACGGCTGATTAGCTAGGTAGTTCATGCTGTTATTGTTCTCATCTCGAAAATCAATAATATCACCTTGAAAGTAGACAACCAAACACCAGAAACTGCGAAAGTAGGAACCATAGATCACTAGATAGTTGTTTTCTTTTGGTCCAATGCTTGTGAATCGATAAGGTGATAATACCTAGGATCTTACGACTGAACTGTAAATGTTTAAAAGAATTGAAAACTAAAAATAGCACTTTGCTACTTCTTTTTGATTTCCAACAAACCTACAACTTATGTAACGTCATTAAAGCTGAAGCGTTTTGTCATTTTCTGCATAGTTTGCATCGGAAAGATAAGCTAACCGGGGCAGAATCTTTAAGAACTCGTAAATCGTATGATGAGGGATAGATGACACTCTAACCGCTAATTGTACGTCATAATCATTCATTCTGAACATTATCTGTATATATAAGGTGGATAAGATCAAAGAAGTGTTCAGCATTGAACGATACAGTTTTGTATATTTGCTTATCACGTCCCCTCATCATATAAATTTTCAATTTTCATTACGCATCCAAGTTATTTTGGCATGATATATTGTATTTTCATTCAACAGTTTGATGCTTGAATGTTATTACGCTTTAGATTCACAGTCCCTGTCTTACTTCTAATGGGGTAAACATGCAGCTGACATTGTAAATTATTAGCCATTTAATTAGTGTGGTGTTATCACAATTTATCAACAAGCCTCCATTAGCACAAGACACTTGACAGTCACATCTGGGGACAGCATTTTGTAGGTCGTTTAATCCTTTAGAGGCTCAAACTTATTCTAGATGTCTTACTTATGATATCTGTTGCTCTTCAATTGAGTGGTACACGTTTACGTTTCCAAGGGAGAGTGTTTTGCTTCACAGTTGCAAGTTCACCTAACTTTGAAATGCAAAATAGGCGGAATTCAAGTCAACTATGGCATCCAACATCTAAGATAATGTGCTAAGTTTTCTTGTCGTTCAACTGAGTAGTCAAACTGAAAACATATCTAAAGAACTTACATAAGTTTGATGAACTCAAAGTATGCACCAACTAATTTCAGGTGGTAAATTCAAGTAACTTTAAATAGTTCTTATTCACATAATCTGATCTATAGAATATCACTGAAGACTTTACTACTCTCCGTAAAACATTTATCCATCATCTTATCAGAGTGTATTTATAGCTTTGTTACTGTGAGTGTATGTGAATTCTTTGGGGGGATGGATTTTACTCATAACACCTCATCAAACAAATCTAGAACCAGCGCCTTCATTCTCATACATTTGATATGCATTGATTGTAAATTTTCTTTAGAAGTAGTATTCACCATGGACTGACATCAGTTGGGGAACCATTGAAAATCTGGGAGCACTGGACAGCTGTTTCATCTTAGTACGGGACTCTTCAGCAGCACGCACCAACGACCCGGCTAGGGAACGAACTCAGGACCTTCAGGTCTCACGGCGAACGTGTTAACCATTCAGCCACCGGGTTGCTTCCGAGTGGTTGCAACTTCTGTCAATTCATGACAAAGTGTGACTATCACTCAAGGTCTTCAGCTAGCATTCGCTTCACTTACGACTGGTTGACTCTGATTTTCAATAGTTCCCCAACCGATATCAGTCCATGATGAATACTACTTCTAAATTAAAAATCCCATTCATATCAAAATTACACTACTTTATAGTGCTCATTAGTGACTTGAATATCATGAAGCTCTGATGAGAAGCCGTGTGGGGTCAACCAGTCGGAAGTGAAGTGGATGCTAACTGAAGACCTTGGGTAACAGTCGCACTATGTCTTGAACTGATAGAAATTGGAAATTGTGAACCCCTGTAAGCGACCCAGTGACTGAATGTTTAACGCGTTATCCATGAAACCTGAAGGTCCTGAATTCTATCACTAGCCGGGTCATTGGTGCGTGCTGCTGAAGAGCCCCATACTAGGACGAAACAACTGTCCAGTGCTCCCAGACGTCAGTCCATGATGAATACTACCTCTAAATTAAAATTCCCCATTCATCTCAAAAATACATTACTGTAAATTTTCTGTTCAGAAATTCAAGAACAATTACTTCTCCATGGTATTTTAGATTTTAATAATCTCCTTTTTTCATTTCCTCAAAAGCTGGACGCAGAAATTGCTTATGCTTTCTGAAACTAATGCAACAGAAGTTCCTTGAGGATCCTTGAGGTTTGTGAAGTGATGTTTATTTATTAAGTAGTTAACACTTTACAATTACTTCGTGTCTATCCCAAAGAACGGCTATCAGCGAAACTTTATCAGACGATCCCTATCCCGTATACTATCAACTACAGAGCCATCTACAGAAATCAACAAACGCATTATCCTGCCGTACATAAAAAATACATCAGAAATCACAACAAGATTACTGAGATAAACTGGAATTACTGTGGCTCATAAACCAACAAATTTCCTTCAAACAACAACGAAACAAGACAAACAGAATATAATTTACAAAATCAATTGCAATAACTTCAGTTAACACTAGATTGGACAAAATGGTCTCCCTCTTCGCCTTTGTCTACAAGAACACCAATTGGCTATTAAGAGTCACAACTTCTCATCACTTATTTAAATGTACGTGGATGACTAAGGACATGAATTCAATTTCGACAATTTTGAAGTCTTGAACGGGGAGAGGAAAGACAAAGAGCATCAGAGAATACCCTGGAAGCTAGACATTCTGGCTAGCTAGCCAGCAATCAATAATGTATAGACAGAGACGCAATCTATCAATCAATGAGAAAAATAATAGATAGCAGAAAGGTCAGAGGTCAAGCAGAGAAACAGCCAATAGGAAAATCCATACAGTCAGTCAATGACACAGTAAACGAAGGAAACAACCAATCATAGACGACATCGTCAGAGGAACCTACTAAATCGCTCTCAAAGAGAAACTGACAGCTCACTTCATACTGAAGTTAGTATTGATAATATCGTCTAGTAGACGATGAAAGCTTCACGACTGGACAACCCAATTTAGAGAACGCAATACAGCCAAAATCATCCACCTCTGCTATACATATTCTCCACCATTTCAGTAGTTAACAAATATTTCATGTTTTTTTTAATTTTTTACTTAAGACTTGTTGGATCAAACTTCTTCTTCTTCTACAAGTCATATAATAACCAATACAGGATGAAAAGAGCACCCAGTATTCTAATTCTAACCACTATCCATGACTATCAATATGAATTTATCGTTAGTATGAAAGTGTTTTCTCAAAGACGGCGCCTTACCAATAATGACAGATGAATTCGATTCAAGTAAATTATAATACTCAAATAAACCATTATTTCAACTCTCTATCCTAGTAGATAAGGTTTTGGTGGGTAAAGCAATCAATACTGCATTCAAGCCATATAGACAAGTACATGTAATCGAATAGTATTGGATAGAATGCAATTCATACTCCATTTGTCTATTACTTTTCATTACTATGAACAGCTAAGGCATATCCTTCTATTCAAGTACTCCTTGACTTGAATATATAAAACCATATTTCTTCACAGTTTCACGAGTACCACAGAATGTCAAATCACTTATGAAAACAATAGATGAGATAACATATAAGAGATATACAACAATAATAATATTACTAATAATTCTAATTGCCACAAAACAATAAAAATTATTCCAAGTTGTTATTCATCGAAGACTGACATCAGTTGGAGGAACAAAGGAAACCTGGGAGCACTGGACAGCTGTTTCGTCCTAGTATGGGACTCCTCAGCAGTGCGCACCCACGACCCCACCAGCAGGGATCGAACCCGCGACCGCCGTGAGGACAAATACTCAACGATGACATTGGGTGGCGGTTTTCGCTATATCGTGAGCTAACAGAAGTTGGAAATATGGAGCATTGGATTCTGACCCAGTGGCTCAATGGTAACGCGCTGGTCGTGGAACCTGAAGGTCGCGGGTTCGATCCCTGCTGGTGGGGTCGTGGGTGCGCACTGCTGAGGAGTCCCATACTAGGACGAAACAGCTGTCCAGTGCTCCCAGGTTTCCTTTTTTCCTCCAACTGATGTCAGTCTTCGATGAATAACAACTTGAAATATTTCCAAATCTCCACAACCCCCTCAAAATAAAAATTATGTTGTAACTTACTAGAAGTGAAAAGTGAGAACCTGTTTACTTTCAAATCTGTTATAAAGCAACATGAATGAATAGCATTTATTTATTAAAGAACTTTCATTTATATGAGACAAGTATATACTGTAGCGCGCACATACATATATATACACGCAAACACATAAGCACACTAATGAAATAGGCTTAGATGCACCAATGATAAAAAGATGAAATCGATAAATTCATAACAAGATATGCATCACTTACAAATTGATACTCATCTAACAGCATACTAATTATAAAGATGTATATTGCGTACAAAGTTAACCTTCATAGGCATAGCTGTTTTCTTGCTTTCTCTTTACTTTTATTCTGTGTACGGTGACTGAGAAAATATTCTATGATCATCTGACTTCATTCATCGAAGGCAAAGAGTAACGACAACAAGAATAATAATAATAATAATTTTAGAGTAGATCAATACGCCTAATGCAATAGAATCTGACAAGCTGTACCAATGTATTGTTGAATATTACAGGTATCTATAATGAAAGTATAGTAATGATTGAGAATTTTTAAAAACACTAATGTTTTGTATTTTGGTAGCATATTTGCTGATTGATAGCCGTTTGAATTATGAAAAAAGTTTATTATAAAGCTTATCTGTATATATGCATAAGTGTATATGAGGCGAGGTTCAGCTTTTTAGGCATGGTCAAATTTTGAAGCTGATTGGATAAACAGTGACCTTCATCGTGTCCTTGGCATATGAAATATGAATAAAATTCAGTAATTTGCATAAAGCGGTGATTATTCGAATAGCTTGTATATACGTTAAAAGTACCTTCAGAGTACATTGATTGTTCACTGGAGGGTAGCCAACTTCTGATTGTTTAGTCTCATATGTTGATCGACCACCTTGCAGTCTGGCCAATAAGTCATGAGACTCACTATCGTAGATTAATTAGCTCTGACTTGCAGGTTAAAATCTCAAATAGGACATAACTTCCATCAACGTTGTACAAACACCTAACTGACGACTACCAACAAGCATGAAACCTACGTCACGCAGACCTTCTTGCTGACTGCTTCCTTCTAATGTTTCCCAGTTGTCAGGACTGATCCACTTAATATCATTCCATGATGGAAGCAACTTTTAAAGAAATTTAGAGAATGGGGACTCCCTTTATATCGAGACTAATCATGAGAACTGAAATGAGCCCCTTTATATAAATCCCAATTAAATAAATAGCGGTACTTTAATAAACTGAGGTTAAATCCAAGTTCCTAGTGGTTGAAATTATACAACTACCAAACAGTAGCTTGTTAATTCACTAGATGATTCGGCGATGGGATCTAGAAAGGAAAGAAAAAGATTAGAAACTCTGGAGACAGGACTACTGGTAATAGTGGTAGTGGTTGCCTCAATAATAAAGTAATAGAAGCAGTGTGAGTAGCAGTGTTCTACAAATTAATGGAATGATTGTAAGTTTTAACAAAGCTTTTCACCACTGAATATAAATCCTTAATAAGATGAAAATAAAGGTGATCTCCTAAAACATCGAGACTCAGTTGTCGAGGCAGTGTGAAGTGGGACAGCCCATGCTCCTATATGGTAAACTTGATCTTCTGTATAGGTTGTTTGCCTCAAAAACTAGACTGGTCTCAGACGGAATGCCTGTCTCCACTAATCTCCCAAAATTGCACATTTAAAAGCTTTTTACTCTTTGAAATCAATTTAAAAAATCTCACAAACCTTCAAATTGAATTTATCTAGCACTCATTGATGACTAGCTTCGAGAGGTGATTCTTGAAGTTCCAATGAGAAGTCGTGACCGGTTGAGTCGACCAACTGGAACATGAGGACGGTTGCTCAGCGACGACACGCGGAGTTCGCGCGACACTGTTAATTGACAGAAATAGGAAATGTGGACCACTGGATTCTGTTCCGTTGACTCAACGGTAACGTCCTGGGTGCGCAGTGCTGAGGAGTCCCATACTAGGACGAAACAGCTGTCCGGTGCTCGCAGGTTTCCAATGTTCCTGCAACTGACGTCAGTCCACGATGAACTCCAACCGAAAATTAACAAATCTCCACAAACCTTCAGATCAAATTAGTATTTATTAGAACGTTTGCTCGTAATTGTGTTGTGTTCTGTGAGATGGGTAGTTTTGTCGTGAAGCTTTTATTATCTTTCTAGGCAACATTATCAGCACTAACTGCAATATGAAATGAGTTTTCAAGACCTCTCTGCCTGTGATTCAGTAGCTTGCCCTGACGAATTCACTGGTCTTTGTTCTACACCATACTTCCCGTTTTAATGGCAAGATGTACAAATCGACGAAAGGAGCTCAACCGGGATCATCAGTACCTTCATTAATTGTAGAAGAGTTAATGCAGAGACTGGAAGCCATTACTCTACCTGTGATTAAACCAAAAATTTGGATCCGATGTATGGACGATACGTTTGTCATCATCAAAAAGGATGATTTAGAAATCATTTACAGTTTGATCAACAATGTTTTCAACATCAAATTCACAATAGAGAAGGAGTCAAACAACCAACTACCATTCCTGAATGTTTTAGTCAGTAGAAAAAAATGCCGGAAAACTGGAATATCAAGTGCACATGAAGCTAATACACACTGTTCAAATCCTCAACCACAGTAGAAACAAATCAACAACACACAAAATTAATTGCGTGAAAGAGTATGCGTGTGTGAACATACTGCCAATCAGAAAAATGATAGACACCGAAAAAGTCAGAGGTCAGCCAGAGAAACAGCCAACAACAATAAAAGATTACAATCAGTCATTAACCAATTCATTAGAGCACGCTACTGAAGCAGTCACGGAGAGATATTGACAGCTCAACTCATATTGAAGATAGTACTCATGATGTTGTCTAGAAAGACAGGGAAAGCCTCAAGATTAAGTCATCCAGTCCAGAGAATAAATTACAATCAGTACCATCCGCCTGAGCTACAAATATTCTGTATCATTTTAAAACGATTGTGCTAATACTCGTAGTGAATGTATTCACAACGTGAACTAGTTAGAACGATTTACAACGGAGATAAATACTCATGTTCTGTAAACAAGTTAGGAAAACGTTAAGCATTATTGGGCAAATGAAACTTTGATCAACGATTGAGGTGGACGGTAACATCTGTTCAAAGTCATTTTATAGTAATCCCCTGCACTTGAATATTGTACTTGGAAAGCTTGCTTTTCCATGTATCTATATGAACTTAGGCAAACAGATATGAAATTTGGAACGCTAAAACCTGTTGATTACTGATCTCAATTTGTTTGATTCTTGAAAGAAATTTTCAGTAAGTTGTCTAGTGTTTAACTTCTTTTTACTTACAAAAGATTATGATACAAACCTTTCTATAGACTGAAACCATAATGATGAGTGAGTAGTTCTGTGAATTGATTAGTCCCTATACAGCGGGCAACTTCCTCTTTTCTGGACCCGAATGCTGAACGAATTTTATCAGTCATTTTGCAATGTGACCAACAAGCAAGGAGGCTTACCATCGTGGTACACTTTGATAGATGTTAGTTGGTTAGCAGTTAGCAGAAAGTCCCAAACTTAGCTTTCGTGATTGTTGGGACTCGTCAGTAAGGTGTATCTGCAACCCCAAGGGGCTCATGTGCCGTCTGAGATTCGACTTCGTGTAACCAAGTGTTGGAGTCAGAGGTGTTACCATTGGGCTATTCAGATAGTGTCATGCATTCATATAACATCCAAGAGAAACTTATGACAACCGAAATGGAACTGATTCCTTGTCGAAACTAAGTCTCGTGCCTCAGCAGGTAGACTGATGTGTCTACACTTCGGAAACCGATGGCTCGATCCAGATTTCTCGCACTGTATACATTTAGTAAGTAAACTTACTTTTGTACCTTACACTTTTTATAAGCAAACACTTTTACAAAATAGGCAAACACTGGTTGAAATGCTATTGACCGGTCTTTTCCAACATATTTCCGTCAATTTAATTAGTGTCTTGTGAGGGTAATTGATTTATTTTCATAGTAGAATGACATCAACTGGAAGACCATCAAAAATAAAGTAGGACAAGATGACTGAGTAACCGAGTCATGTACTTCTGAACAGTTTACACCCACAACCCTGTATATGATCAAACCTAGGATTATTTCGTCTTGTGGTGGTGGGCTCAGTTAGCTGATTACGCACATACACTATTTTTTGAATTCTCAGCATGCAATATTACAGCTACTTTACTTGTTGCACAGTATTTTTCATATATACATTAACAATGGTACTGGTTATCAATATATGATTTTGAACGACTTCAGAGTCATGATAACTGATCGTAGTTACAAATTCGACTGATAAGAATATTTCTTACATGCTTTTCTTGACACAGTGTATAAGCTAAGTAAGATATAGTTGACATTTTGCATGTAGTTGTGCGTGTGCATAAAGTTTAATGTATTACTTTTTGTCTTCCCTTAAGACAGACATGGAGAGAGGTGCAGATGTAAAGGTTTCTTTCATCGATTAAAATACTTGTAGCCAACTTTTAACAAGAGTTAAGATACCTTTCCACGACCAGCGGTGTATCACATCCTGCACAATACAGTAAAGTCTTTTTTCGAAGTCTAGGAAGGAATAAGTGGGTACAGTAAGTAAGTATGAGAAAAACACAGAAGTTAACTAGTAGAGGCTGAGTTATATCAGACAATTTGAGTTTCCTTATATAAAAAGTCAATTTAAGGATTTTTCTTGGAATCAGGAAATATCTGGGAGGGACCAAAGGATCAGAAGAAAAACAAAAACATCATTACTAAGTTTTCTTCTGCTAGTAAGATCTTTAAAAAGTGTCCATATACTAGAAAGGATTGCACATGGTAATCTTTTAATTGTACAACAAGTTTAGGAGTTTATTTCAGACTTAATCAGGCAGATAAATCGTTTAATGTCAATATAATTATTTGATTTGTACACATTTTTCTCTCAACGCAATCTCTTTGACTGACGAGATGAAATTTTATCAAACCTTAGAAAAAACATTTCTTCTGGGCAAAATTGTAGAAAAAATGCAGCGCTACTGAGAGTGTCATCCAATGCATCATTTTCAAGTATGCTCCATTTGTGTTTTGCGATATGCTTCTGAATTTAAGTATGTCTTAGAATCACTTTCTGAATTACCTCATCAATGAGATGTCGATAAGATGAGTAAGATTTCAGTCAACAGTCTCTCTCTCTCTCTCTCTCTCTCTCTCTCTCTCTGTTTCACTCCACCC